GAAGTGGTTGAATAAAAACTTTTTTTTTTTTTTTTTTTTTGCTCTTTGATTAATTTATCCAACCCAGCACCCACCTCTTTAGTTTTGCTCCTTGCCCATTCACACATCACCTCAATATAGGTGCAACTATTTCACTGACAGGGTTTAAATAGTAGTGGAGCGATGTGTAGCTGTCATGGTCCAGAAAATGTGCAAGAAGCAAGGAGTTTTGCTTGTGGTATCTTTTGTAGGACCAACTGTATGGTTGGGATAGATTTAGAGAAGCTTTTGAATGCAGAACAGTCTCCCAGTTAATTAAATGAATAGTCTTGTTAGAGACAGACATCTAAATGGGCCCTAAAATGATAATTATGACCATCTTGGAGGAGACTGTTAAGCAGCACCTGATTTAATGGATGCTTTGCTTTTAAAATAGAAATTTTAAATACATGAAACTAGGAAATCATTAATAAAAGGGAAAATGGGAAAGCCATGTAAGTTAACTCTTTTTTCTTTTTGGCTTATGTCTCCTTAATAAACTTAGCTTTTCATTTGTTCATAAACTGAAAGCTTTAACTGTGAATATATACTGGAAATTTGTGCAGTGAGAATGAGAAGTGCACACTAGAAAATGTTTGACTTGATTCCTGAGAGCTATGCCTGATAAATGTGGTTATCTTCTGTCAGACGTTACGTTTTATTGTGCTTTACAAAGAGTGAATGCTTTATTTTAGGAGACCATTGTTTCCAGTTTCATGACAGTTTTGAGGCACCTAATGCTGTTGAAACATTGCTACCAAATATGTGGATGTAAAGCATTTTATGTCGCAGTGGCCAATTTTTAAATTAGGCACTGCTCAGTCTTACAAAAACATTATTTTCATAAAATCACTTTAATTAAAAAACCCTTTGTTCTTTTCATTGAAGGGGAAAGATCTTTTGTGGGAAAACAGACTTTTCTGCTGACTTAAATTTTAAGAAGCTAGGTAGATTATCTAATGTCATGATCTTTCATTAGTAAGTGTTTAGGTAAATTAAACACTCAAGTTACTTTGAGTCTTATCATCACCATCGGTGGTACAAATTTACCTAGGAACTTTTTGTATTAACCTGTTCTAAAATAAGGAGCCAAATAAGTATGTTTCTTCATGGCTGGTGATTTTTAATTTTTTGATGTGGAAGGTGTGTGTGTTGAACTCTCATATATTTTAAATTTTTAAAACTTTCTCTCTTGCTTCTTCAGGTCTTGAAGTTTTAAAGCAAGAGACTGCTATAATTGAAAATGTTCCCATTTTGGGACTTTACCAAATTCCTTCTGAAGGTGGAGGCAGAATAGTACTGTACGGAGATTCTAACTGTTTGGATGATAGCCATCGGCAGAAAGGTATCTAAATTGTGAGATGCAGAATAAAGGTGCAATATGATAGTGGTGCTGATGATTAGAACTGCTATCAATAATGTTTATGCTTGCCAGGAGACCATTTTAAATGGCACCAAGCCAGAGGTGATTTCTTCATAACAATATCGAAAATTGTTTTCTAACATATTTGTGAAGCACTACCTTGTATAATCTCAAATTGCAGTTGTTGTCAAGAAGCGTGATTGTAAAATAGCTCCATGATGTTCAGCAAACTTCGTTTTTGTACTTATCAAGAGATCTGTTCTGACAAAAGTAAAGGTTTTTACTCCAGGTAGCACTGGCAAAGTGCTGGAGCAGCAGGATTATGCTCAGACCCTATTCATATAATTTTCCAGTAGCAGTGTCTTTGTTGTGTTTCTGATGTATAAACCAGAAGGAATACTGGCAGATCACAGGGTGAACATCCAGCCTTAACACTTGGAAAAGCTTTCTTTATTTGCAAAATGAACACATTCTGATTTCAAGTCATTGGGAACCAAGCATGGAACCCTAGGATACAATTTTTATAGTCATTTTCATTGTATAACTTAGTTGGCTTCTCTCCTCTAAATGTCTTCCAATTAATGTACTGTCTCATTCACAAATGTGGTGACATCAGAGCCTTGCAGATTTACTAGTGGTTATTAAAACACCTACAGTGCAAAGGATGATAGATAGTTAAGAAATTAGATGAGCAGTTGTAAGCCATGACTTGAACATTGATTTTTCTTAAATTTGGGCTTATGAGACAAGCATGTTGGAAAGCTTGACCAATTCCATTACTTTGGCTCTTAAGTTATGAATTAGCAGCTGTATCTCTTGCTGAGACATTGCTGACCTTAAATTTCTAGCATATGTGAATATCACTTGCATAAAAACCAAAGGTGGAGATTTATGTGACATTAGAATTATGAAGATTAACTTACCTTTCCCACTGAATGACCCTTCAAGGTAGAGAAATTCTGAGAAAAATGTTTTGCTATGTATTTGAAATGTATTAATCTTTGCTTGTCCCTGTTTTACAAACCATAATTTCAGACAGTTTGAGACGGAGGAGGCATAGGGTATTGTTACACATTACACTTAGCAAATGCTAACTGCAGTTGCAACACTAGTGTCTCAGCCTTCAAGCAGTGAGGCATGTGTTAAGCGCCATTGTAGTTTGGTAAAGTTAGGTCTTTTCCAGAGAGGAGCATCTCCAGATCATATTATGTAACGTGTGTTGAGCTAATGTCAGACTGCTCCATGGAAGTAATATGATCAGGGGATCCTGATGTGATGGGAGGCGTGAGCGTCTGACAAAGCTGTTTGCTGGGCTCCTTCCTCCCCCTATTCCCCACCTCACCAGAGCCCTGCCATTTCAAGTCTCCTATGCAGTAATGTAATGAAGCTGGAGACAACACTGGCATAGCACAGGAACCAGTCCCAAACCCCGCACTGCACAGGAACCCGTGCACTGCATTGCGTCAAAGCCAGATCAATGCTTGGGTGCACTACTGGGTGCCAGTGTCACTCTCAGCCTTTGCACCACGCTGGCTCCAGTGCAGTCCTAGGGCTGAGACCAAGAATCAGCTGATTTTTTGGTCGTAGCGCCAGGACCACACCAGAACCAGTTCAAGATTCTGGTGTGGTACTACAATAACTTTCTAAATTGTATTAATGCTTACTGTGATCTAAGTGTAATATATAACAATACCCCTACTTTTTTAATTGTTTGTGACGCTTGTTTCTTCTGAGTTTTACAGTAGGCCAGGGCAAACTGACATTCAAAGTGTGTCCCTGAGAGGTGTTAGAAAGTGAAGGATGCTCAAGAAGGTAAAAGATGCCTAATAGCTTCTACACATGAGCAGATAAATTGCTATCTTGGGTAGTAACTCCATTTGAAGTTTTAAATTTTGCCAAACCAGAATTCCCAATAATTAACACTGTTGTGGAATGACCTAATTCTAGCATCAAGTATTAGACATTTTTTGTTCAGAAGATAAGAAAATATTTTCATTTAAAACTAAACCGTTTGTTGTTTGACTCATTAGAAGTCACTCCATCTGTCAGTTTATCTTCTAGGTGTATGAGGGAAAAGCATAATACATTTAAAACAAAACAATAACAAAAACCAAAGAGAAATTAAATACATTTAACACTTTTTAGCAACATATTTAAAACTCAGTCATAGTTTCATAGTTTCTAGGGTCGGAAGGGACCTGAGCAGATCATCTAGTCCGACCCCCTGCCGTGGCAGGAAGAGCACTGGGGTCAAATGACCCCAATAATGTGGTCATCCAACCTCCTCTTAAAAACCCCCAGGGTGGGAGCCTGCACCACCTCACATGGAAGCTGGTTCCAGACCCTAGCCGCCCTGACCGTGAAGTAGCGCCTCCTGATGTCCAACTTAAACCTTCCCTCCGCCAGCTTGTGACCATTGTTCCTGGTCACTCCTTGCGGCGCTCGGGGGAACAGGGACTCCCCCAGCGCCTGCTGATCCCCCCCAACCAGTTTATAACAGGCCACAAGATCCCCCCTCAGCCTTCTCTTTTGAAGGCTGAACAGGTTCAGGTCCCGCAACCTTTCCTCATAGGACCTACCCTGCTGTCCCTTGATCATACGAGTGGCCCTCCTCTGGACCCTCTCGATGCTGTCCACATCCCTCTTAAAGTGCGGCGCCCAGAACTGGACGCAGTACTCCAACTGCGGCCTGACCAGTGCCGCATAGAGGGGGAGGATCACCTCCTTGGACCTGCTCGAGATGCATCTGTGGATGCACGACAAGGTGCAGTTGGCCTTCCTAGCCGCCTCCCCACATTGCCGACTCATGTTCATCTTGGAGTCAATAATGACTCCCAGATCCTTTTCCACCTCCGTGCTGACAAGAGGGGAGTTCCCCAGCCTGTATGTATGGTGCCGATTGTTCCTCCCCAGGTGCATCACCTTACACTTGTCTGTGTTAAACCCCATCCTGTTCTCCTCCGCCCATCCTTGTAACCTATCTAGGTCCAACTGTAGCCTGTTGCTCCCCTCTATTGTGCCCACATCCCCCCACATCTTAGTGTCATCAGCAAACTTGAACAGGGTGCTTTGCACCCCCTCATCCAAATCACTGATGAAGATGTTGAACAGGGCGGGCCCAAGGACCGAGCCCTGTGGGACCCCACTTCCCACGTCCTTCCAGGTCGAGAAGGACCCATCCACTACCACCCTCTGGGTGCGACTCTCTAACCAGTTGGCGACCCATTGGACTGTATGGGTGTCTACGCCACAGTCCCCCAGCTTCCTAATGAGAATGGGGTGAGAGACAGTATCAAAAGCCTTCCTGAAGTCTAGGAAAACTATATCCACTGCCACCCCTGCATCCAATGATTTAGTGACCTGGTCGTAAAAGGCCACCAGGTTGGTCTGACAGGACCTGCCGCTGATGAACCCGTGCTGGTTGCCCCTGAGCATGCCGTTCCCTGCTGGCCCCTCCTGGATGTGTGCCAGAATAATTTTCTCGAACAGCTTGCCCAGGATCGAGGTAAGGCTGACTGGCCTGTAGTTCCCCGGGTCCTCTTTCCTCCCCTTTTTGAAGATGGGAACCACGTTGGCCCTCTTCCAATCCTCCGGCACCTCTCCAGAGCACCACGAGTGTTCATAAATATTTTCGAGTGTTCAGTTATATTTTTCAATCATGACTGCTTTATTTAAAAATCCAAACTGTAGCTTAATGCATGCCTTTATTTAATCCACAGACTGCTTTTGGCTGTTAGATTCCCTTCTGCAGTATACTTCCTATGGAGTGATGCCACCAAGTCTCAGTCATTCTGAAAACAGACAGCGGCCTCCAACAGGAGCAGGCTACTCTCTTCCTGAAAGGATGGAAGGTGAGGACTAGTTTACTCATCAGAGCCAGGAATGTTTTCTTTTGGCGTACTGTTGTTTTTCTAAGGTACCACAAGTGTGCTAGGACCATATTGTGTATCAGGAAGCTGATTGGTTAGTAAGTTGCCCAGAATTTTCATGTATTCTTAATGCGGCATTTACAATCTTTTTATAGATTTAAAATAATTAATTCATAAATACACTTCATTTTAAAAATGCAGGTTTGTTATCAGTATCATGCAAATATGCCTATGTAATTGCAGTTGCTGAACACATCTCTAACATAAAACCTGACAAATAAATGAAAGCTGGGTAGATACAGAGTACTTAAAGTTTACAGAGAACTTAAAAGCACAATTTTGTCTAAAATAATGATTACCAAAACTCAAGAGGTTTAAAAACTGGCAGGCTGTTGACTGTACATTTACTATTTTGATTTGGAAGATGCTGTTTAGTTGTTTAGTAGCAAAGCTAAACTCTAGGATAGTTTGCAAAACAGTCATTCTTACCTGCAGTTATGCTTGTTATAGTTTTAGTATTTGAAAAAAATATGTAAATGTAGTTTCTTGATTGTAATTTTTATCTTTCTTTGTATAACAACGGACTTTCAGGTAATCATCTTCACCGGTATTCAAAAGTGCTTGAGGCTTACTTGGGAGACCCAAAACCCCGTTCTCTTCCAGCTTGTCCTCATTTGTCCTGGGCCAAACCACAGCCTCTGAATGAAACTGCACCCAGGTTATTATATGTATTTTTATATATGGTATAATATAGATTTTCATTTTTGGACATGCTTTTTAGAAGTCTTTTGTGTCATGTGCTATTGCTTCTGTTTCTTAAACCATATGTAGGCGAGTAAACATGGGATATATCACATAGGAAAATGAGGTTAATGCATTTCTGGCACACTTTTATGCAGCTCATTATAACAGCTATGACTTACGACATCTTAGAACTTTGTAGGCAGTTTCACAAATAAAATAGCATATATCCAGGGTGCTTGTAATCTGCTAGTTACACGATCTCATGAATGGCAGTGATACAAATCTGCATTGCCTTTTCTTTTTAGAAAACTAAAAATACCTTTTTGAGTATGTCCGTCTTGATGGAAATGTCTTGATTGCTTAGGGATGAACAAATCAGTGACCACGGACAGATACATGTGGGGGCCGGGGGAACAGCACTTTAATGAAGGAGGAAGTATGTTAGTTTGACACAGCTCTCCAATGTCTGTATAGATTGGGTGCTTCAGTGGAGCTTTTTGGCACTTTTATCTAATAGCTGATTCAGTCAGCTATTAGACAAGTGCCAAAAAGCTGTGCTGAAGGGACTGATCTATACAGACGCTGGGCAAGCTGGGTCAGACTAACATGATGCCGCTTTTGAGCATGAGCTGTGTTCAATGCAGGAGTGTGCCAAGCTGAAAGTAAAGTGTGGTTTTCATTTGGTTTTTGTGTTTGGTTGGTTGGTTGGTTTTTTTTAAGTCTGTAAGCAGCCAGTATGTCCTGTAGTTTTCCAGTGAATCACTATGGGTAACATCTGGTAGTCCACACAAGAAACAGATTTTTAGATAAATGGTGATTCTCTGGACTTCCTTTCTAGAACATTGGAAACCTGTATTCTTACAAAATTTAGAAACAATATAACATTGTTTTGTTACATCTTCTCTAGTTTACTGAGGTTTTTGTTCAGATCTCTGCCACATACAGTCTGCAAATCACATTGAAATATTTGGATCAGCATATCAACACTTACATTATCATTTCTTTCAGCAACCTTTGGAAGCATCAGAAGTTGTTATCAATTGACTTGGATAAAGTGGCTTTACCCAACTTTCGACAAAACCGACCCCAAGTAAGACCTTTATCCCCTGGAGAAAGTGGAGCATGGGACATTCCCGGAGGTGCGTTAGAAAGTTACGTTTGTTTCTTTATATAAAATTGTTACTAAAAAAAAATTCAGTTTTGCCTTAAGGGCAAAGAGATGGCGAGTCTTTTTCCTTGGGGAAACCTCAAACTACAGAGGTGACTGGTGGTATAAAAGTTTGCTGTAATTAAATATATATTTGTATTTGTGTAAATTAAGCTTTTAGTGAATGACTTAAATAGACTCAAAATATACTATACTGACTTCTGTAATAATTTTGTGGTTTTAAGACCATCATGCTATGGCTTTTGTTACCTTTGTGTAGAACTAGAAAAGACTCAGGATTTACTTGAAAATAGGACACTGTTAAGGATAAAATTCTATCATGGTATTAATTATTTTACCAACCTGGTAAAATAACTAATAACAGGGTGATCTTAACAGAACTGCACATCCTAGGGCACATTTACATTTGCATAAAATTTAATAGGTTTTATAAGCATATACTTAGCTTTACACATCATAGTAAGGTGTCAATAAATGAACATGAGGGCCTCGCATTATCTGTGCTTGCTCTCATCCCCATGGTTTTATGATATATGTTTGTTTTTAATTTATGTACCAAGAAAGCATTATGCCCACCATCACTTTCCAGTAAATCAGTTATAAAAGTCTTGGAACAGCTACGTGCCTCTGAGGCTCAGCATTTCATGCTAGCTGAGTAAAATGAGGCTTCTGTCACCTCACTACCCTTTTGGATATGCACAGGGCTCCTGGCATCTTTACCATCATCCTTCATTCTCTCTGGGAGAGTTGGACCCGTCTTTAGCTGTTCTGCTCCATTTCTATTACAAGACCTAGTCCTGGGTGCCACTCTGTTTCCTATTATCAGGTTGCTCACCTGGTCAAATGAGCAAGATAAGTTTTCATAAATTCGTAGATGTAGGGTCGGAAGGGACCTTGTAGATCTTCTAGTCCAACCCCCTGC